AGTTCGTACGCGTCGGTGGACGGCAGACATCCGATTTTCCTGGAACAGCTGGCAGCTGGACTTTTCTTTGCTGTGAAGCTTCTTCCATGCAAAGCAAGTTGGAATTTTGACCTTAATAAGCTCGAAAAAGATAGTAAAAGAATTCGAGGAATTTGATCTCAATGGGCCCTTCGAAGATTCCCGTACTCCATGTGTTGAATGCCAGATTTTCAGCAACAATCCGATCATGGCAAACAAACGCATGCTGTGCTAGACTGAACGCTCTGAGCTCCGCCTTCCATCGCTGAGGGCCCTCCGAGCACACCGGGCAAGCGCCCGAACTCATCAAGGAGGACGGGACACCGTCCACTCTGAGAGACCTCGGCGGAAAGACCCATGGTGGATCAAGACCCGTATGGCCCGTACGGTGGATCGCATAGGACAAGACCATGTATACCTGGATACCAAAATCACTTGCCACACTGAACTGTTCGAGGCCTGTTGTCAGTGTCTCTATGGACAGATCTCAGAAATTCTAAGAGGCTGCAGCTGAGTTTGCCAACTCTGAACTGCTGCCGCCGCGGCCGCCGCCAGGAGGGCAAGATATTCGACATTTTGGAGCTTGTGCCTTGACAGAGAAGCATGCCTGGACGGAGAACCTGGACCTTCCATTCAACGCAAGGACGCAAGGTACTTGTAGTGTTTGGTCAATTCTTGCAATAGGTCAGTGTGGTAAAAATCCATCCAAAAAGCTCTCAAATCCCCAAGTTTATGACCCAAGACCAATGGGAGCATGGAGCTTAAGCAGCTTAACCTTGACTGTGAGCTTTCACTCCGCAGGTGTTTGGAGTCGACGTATGTGTCGAGGTCTTTGTTCCGTCAGAAATTGGTGCCATCCCAACATGAGTAGGACAAAAACACCCCCGGTTCCGTCCCCTTCCCCCCCAACAAAGATAGGGCCTAGAATCATCCAAGTGTGGAGTATGTTTACCATATTTTTACCTATATATAGGTATTTTGTTACCTAATATATATATATATATATATTATATTTTTTATAGATTGACCCCTTTTCAATTGATCAACCACCCCGAAATTCGCTCCGCCCCGCCGACCGCTGCTTTTCGGCGAGGATGGGACCGCCCAGTGGCGCATGAAGAACTACGGCACCGCCCACTTCCGAGGCACCTCTGGGCGTAGACGCGGCTGGGAGGAGCAGGGAGGAGCAGGGGCCTGGAGAATGGGTGTGTATGGTGTATGATACGTCAAGCGTCAGCGTATATGGTGTGAATTCGATTGATCAACTTGAGAAAAACCCTCAGTCTACGCCCAATGTCAAGAGCTGCATCTCTGGTCACTGTGCCGTACTGTAGTCCAAAAGATCACTGACTACTCATGGGGTGAAAGACTCTGATAATTGAAGGCATATAAAGCGGGTGTTTCCAATCCCACTGTGGAACAACCAGTTTGTGAAGCCTCCATACCATTCCATACCATTCCATACCATTCCATACCTGCAGCTCTTCCGCCCCCCCCCTTCCTCGCCCTCAACGTCGCCGTGGTGGTCCAGCACCCAGCACCGCTTCGAGGCGGTGAGAACTTCCGGAGCAAAGAGGAGCGCAGCAAAGGCCACGTGTTGGGTTCCTACGCGTTTCTTTTCTCATTTTTTGCATGAGGGGAGGTCAGTGGAAGAAGGTGTGAGAGAGCGATCCTGCCAGGAGACGAGGTGGGTGCTTTCGATGTGCCCTTTTGGTGCCAGAGCAGTTAGCACTGCCCAAGCTTAAAGAAGAATCGCTCATTCCATTCAGCCGATCGCAGAGTAACCGACCTTCCCACACGAGGCTGTATCTACGAACTTGGAAGCGCGTTTGGGTCCCAGGTTCATCCACGTGGGTGTGTACTTTAATAGGGATAATGATAATAGGGAGATCCAAAATCAATGGGTAGACTGGTCTAGGTATGTCTAGGTTCTTTCTTCCAGGAGGTCGAACTGCGAAGGTCTCCCTATTTGAGCTACACACCCATCGCCCATGTTCCGTTGGTTCCATGGCCCATGGAGCAAGAGCCCCGTTACACCATCCCGAAACATCATAAAACTAGGTGTCCTGGACACGCACTGACCGCAATGGCACTGACCGCACTGACCACGTGGCATTTGCATCAAATTTGCCCGCCATGGGGACTGTCTCTTCAGAGGCAAAGGCAAGAAGGGCAAGGGCAAAGGCAAAGGCAAGGGTCGCAAAGGCGCGTTCGTCCGGGCGCGCTACCGGGGCCTGGAGTCAGGTGGCTTGGTGGGATCGGAGAGGTGACTGGGCAGGCAGCCCGTCTTCACTCGGCGCAAAGACAGAGAGTTCGCCATCGTCCCTCCTCCCCTCCCCCGCAGTGGAACTCCAGGCCTGCCAGAGCTCCACGATGTGATGGGCAAGACGTCCCGTTTTCAGCATGATCCACTCATTTGGGGTTGACCAACGACCCCGAAACCAGGACCTCCTGGCGTTTGGGGTTCGACCAGTTGCTATCCCGATCGCTCGGTCTCGGCGAAGTTGCTGAAGGCAAGCGGAAGAAGGGAGAAGAGGATGAGGAAGACGAGGGCGATGAGGTGTGGCAAGAGGGGAAGAGATTGGAGGATTTCCTTCTGCAAACAGTGATTAGCTTTGACTTTAACTATTGCAAGTAGTACTGTGTCGCTCGTACGTGGCCAAGTCTGGGGAGAGCTTTACATCATGCAGTCACCCGAAATTCATTTGCAGGACTGTTTGAATGAGAAGACCATTATAGAAAACCACTGACGAGTAACACACTTTTTCGATGATAGCGTATCATCCATTTCAATGAGTCGTGACGTGGGGAAAGCCGATGGGTCATCCGAAGCTTCGACCAGCCGGTCTATCCGGATCTTCACTCCTCGATCAGACCTGAGATGGATTGGACCTGAGATGGTGGGTTTTGGCCAGCTTGCTCACAGGATTGGACGACATTGGGATTTGGGTCTCTTCCCCTTTTGGGGTGAATCACGCTTTCCTCTCCCCATCTCCCATCCCCAAGAGATCCCTCGGTCGCCAGTTGCGCACCGCATCCAGTTGCGCCCCAGATCCAAGAAGGGGCCCTAAGCCGAAAGAATCCCATCGAAAAAACCTTGGAACTTGGAATTCGGATCTTTTGGCCGTCGCTCCTCCCTGCGAGGGGGAAAGCAGGGTCACGTCCGAAAGCAGCAAACAAAGGAACACACACCATGAACGAATGAACGATCAAACGGAGGAGCCAAGCGTTCCTTCACGGACGGACGGACGACGAAGAGAGAAGACGTTGACATGGACCAAGGCGATTTCGAAAGACTACTTTACGCCTATACTGTGCTATAAGATGCCATAATCATTCGCAGGTTCCTGCATGTTCTTGATGTTCTTTCGATATGTGGATCAAATACCACCTGTTGGGAGTTCAAGAAATGATGGTTATGCCGCCATGCTGATAAAGGAATTCGGAGAGACCTGAACTGTAAGTGACCACAACACAATCGATTCAAGCTCGGTATGTGCTATGGAATTTGTTTGGGGTTCGGAAGCAGCGTGGTGGTGGGAGGGTTGATCAACCCAACCCGCGGGCTTGGACCGCCACGCGCCTCGCAGGGTGAATATGAAGAAGAGGACGATGGTGACATCACAGGAGACGAGAAAGGCCCCGAGACATGCCAGATTTGGGGCCACACGTGGATGCCATTCACCCCCACGGACTGTCACACGTGGACTGTCTCTCACCCCACAAAACCATTGCAGCCAGAACCTCAAATTTTTTGGGGCGTCCCAATATACCTGTGGCTCAGACCCCCCCCTTTGAATCCCTTTGAAGCAAAAGCACTGGTTTAGGGCCTGTAAATAGGTATCCAGACCCCGGCTGGACACATCACCCCTCCTCTTGGAGCGATTTCCAGAATAGCAATGGCCTCCAGAGAGAATTCCTTCACATACCTGGACCTTCACATTGGTGTCCTGGCTGGAGATCCCTAAGTAGTGTAGGGCCTTCCGTTGGTGACCCCGACATGAAGGTGCTGGTAGCGTCTTGACCTTTTCCTTCACAACGACCGGTCTGGTCTCGGATCGCACTCCGAGCAGAAGCTCCTGTAGGACGTTGGGTTGGAGGGTTTTGTGGCCCATTTCTCCAAACCAAGAATTGGCTACTCAGAAGAGTATTTCACAAGGATTGCCCGCCCTTTCCTCTAGCCTGCTTTTAGTATCTACAGCTTCTGGCACGTGGCTTCGCCACAGTAATGGGGCCTGTCTCGTGCCGACTATACAAGGGCTCTTCAATCGAGTTTCCACAAGTTGATCAAGAACAGAGTCCCGATATACAGTGAATTCATACTCATGGAACCATCACCAACTCAATCATCGACATGACATCGGGCGCTCAGAACCGGATGATGCGCCCAGCGGCGCTGCCTGAGTGCTGATGCTGAAAACGCCCAGCCGCCGTCTCTTCGCCACGTTCTTTTCGGCTTTTCCATGATGCTGAAAACGAACCCAAGAGTGATGGCCTCCAATCTAATTAGGCCCGGAGAACAGATATCAACATGTCTGTATTTTCACACCTGTCCATGCGATGGCCTTGCTCCAAAACTGCAGATCTTCAGACCTCTTCTGTGAGCAGTTCTGTGTACCGCGGCGATCTTTTCTGGCTCAGTGGCGACACCCCCACGCCCAACTGAACGAGAGAGCGTTGACACTTGTCGGCGCCTTCATGTGATGTGAGTCAAATCCACCTTGATTTGGCCTTAGAAAGCCTTAGCAAACTGTTCCAGAGAGTGATTCGAAGCACCCAAACGAATAGACACTGTTCAAGAGAATGTCAGAACCCTTCAACGCGACTATATCTAATCTGGTGATTACAAAGAAGCGTTATTTCAATCGATCTGCTTCTCCCTGGTTTTTCACACCAGAGAAACTGCGATCAACGACCGGTTTTTGATGATCGATTGGGACTGCTGGTTTCGCAAGGTAGCTAAGGCTACACTGTTTTAATCATGCTTCCCTTCACTTCTGTGTTCCGTCTCACTTTTCAAAGCTCTACGGGACGCCATTGTGTGCGCCTGCGCCTTCGCCATGCCGTGGAGGCTAGGTCGCTGCCACTCGTCCGAGTGACTCCTCCTGTGACCGTCTACTGACCTGCTAAGATGGTAACTGGACCCATCCAGTGTGCCACGTCCCAAGCATCTTCTCCAAGGCTCTACCAGGGAAGGTCTCCTGGTACAACCACCTTCTCCAAGGGTAGATGGGCTTCTGGTAGAAAGGTACGGTGAATTAAAGTCCATCCATGTGCTTTTTGTGGGATCAGCATTATGGTCGAACACGTTTGGTTTTGCGGGCCTTGCTTTCGTGCCTTGCAAGATCTCGCGTTTTTCAGAACAGGTGTCCTTTCAAGAGAAGTCTTTGTGCTGAAAATACCTCGATGCCATAACTGCATCTCAGAATCCACCAGACCGAGAAGGCCCGGTATCACCTCAGGCCCGGCCCGGTATCACCTCTTTGCGCCTTGTAGGCGACGGAGCGGGTGGCTCTTGACCTTGGCAGCTCTTGCTGCAGGCGATGAGTCACAGATGAAATGATGGTCACAGGAGCCCCACAAACCATCAAACACCTGATCTTGCCTAGCAAAAACAATGGTTTCTTGTATGTGAACACCTTGATTTGCATGGTGTTGAGGGCCACTGGGATGCAATGATTCCTTTCATCGATCCCTGGTGAGGACTGGGTTGGAGGAGTTGAAGAGGGCGGACTCCATCAAGGTGACCCATGAAGCATGCAAGAGGGCTTCCCAAATTCCTATTTCAAGCATATGTGTTTGTTTTGTTCAAACATACAAACATATGTGGGCTTCCATTGCCCCGAAGGAATCGACCCACTCTTCACTGGCCGTTTTCCTTGGTTTGGATGATTTGATGATTGGGTGTTGGTGCTCTCACCTTGTCATCCTTTTTGGTCTTCCCAACTGGGGCAGATAGGAATGAACTCACCTCGAAACCCCATGGTGTTCACCGAAGCGCCGAAGGAACGGAGCGCAAAGACTCCCATGTTCGAACGAAAAGGCGGGGGAAAGGTCCGCAGCTCATTGTTGGCTCTCTTTCTTTGTTGGGTTTCGTTTGGTTTCATGAACATGCAAGCAACATGTTTTTTAAGCTTCCCATGAACCATCGCCGCTCGCATTCTCGGCCCCTCCATTGGTTGACGGACTCCTTCCAGAGTCTCCCTTTGGGTGTTCAACAAAGCGAGCTCACAGGTTGCACCGAAGACTCCTGTGAAGAGGACCGCGTGTCCCTTGGACGTTTTGGTCGTCGTGGGTGGTCACCCTCTGAGAATGCAGAGTTCAACAGGATTCCTCGTTGGAACAACAGAGCTTGGTTTCGTTTGGTCTCGTTCTTTGGCTTGGTCTCGTTTGTGCCCAAAGCTTCAACCGAAAAGGCATGAAAACTCGGACAGACCTTGGCCCTGGGCAATCAAAGTCAAAGGCTCCTCCCACAACTTCCTGGGCTCAACGCCAAAGTGTTCTGAATGCAGAAATGTTAATTCATGTTACATGTATTGAAATCCTTGTGCCGAAATCTGGACGTATAGTTTGTTGCCCGTACAATCTGGAGTAAACAGATGTAAAACGTATAACTAGTTACGATCCCAACCTATACTTCCTGACGACCCATGACCTTGGAAACATTTGGAACCTGAGAGCGAACCCTGGAAGATTCTCGCCGTGTTCAAGGCGGATTTCGGGGGAAGATTTCGAAGACTTTTGCAGTTTGGACGTGTGAGGTTTGCCGGTTTGCCTCTTCTTTTTCTTTCCGTTCCCAAGGAGTAGACCGAGCTCATAGATCGGATCTGGTTGGGTTGATGGTTCGAAAAAAGACAGTGAGAAGCCCTGCGTATTTCTTGTGTGCGGACATTGGCGGGGGGGATTTCTTTGTTGTTTTCATTTTCAGTAAAATTTTGTCGGCCTCTGTTTTCGATCCACGTAGACCAACAATCCTCCACAACCCCTCACAGTCACTTGGCAGTCACTGCATCCTTTCTCAGATCGGGATGGGGGTCCCTCGCATCGATTTCCAAAGGATCTGGGTTTCAGGTGGATCTTCTGCCGAGATCCACCCCCCCCCTGACGACGTCAGACGAAAAGGTCGACGAATTCAGGACTCCCAGTGTTCGGGTTCAGACTGTCGGACTGCCTCATGCAGCTGCGCAGCCCGCGATGTCGCCCGCGATGTCCTCAGTTCCTGCCCTTCGGCCCCCGCAGGACTGGGTCCTTGATCAATTGGTGGATGCAGAGGCATGTGAATGAACAGAGCAGCGATGCAAGGTGTTTGAGACTTTGGAATGGTTGAGCTTCCGCTGTTGGCACTGGGGAATGGAAGTAACTTTAACTGATATATATATATATATATAATAATATTCTAATTTACAGAAGGGATTGTCATGGGGGGTGGGTTTTTAATTCATAGGTTTTTCAATCATTTTCTAGTTAAGGAACATGAAAAGCCTGCAGAGGATCAAAAAAAA